TTTTTTTTGACAGGATCTCAATAAGTTGTTCAATCACCCAGGCTGGGCTTGAACTTTGCATCCTCCTTCCTCGGCCTCCCACAGTGCTGGCATTACAGGCATGCTCCACCACCCCTAGCCAGTCTTCTTCCTCTGTAAGCTGGAGTTCAAGCACTGCCTTCTCTCTGAAGCCTGCCCTGATTTACCCAGGCAGACCTCTCTACTCTGGGCTCACTAAGCACTTTCACGTGCATAGTACCCGCTTCAAAGGAAGCTGCCTGGAGGGAGAGGCCTTCTCTTTGGAACAATATAGGGCTAGTGTCTGGTACAATACCATACATGGTAAGCACCCAGTAAATATTTCTTTTTTTAATACCAGGAAAAAGAACATACATACTTATTACATGCTTATGACATGGGAGCCTGACTCCCCTTAGTAAATATTTCTTAATTGAATAAATGAAGCCCTGGTCTTTTTTATTTTTATTTTTTTTTGGGTACCGAGGTTTGAACTCGGAACCTTGTGCTTGTGAGGCAAGCAGTGGAACCACTGAGCTAAATCCCCAGCCCCTGATCATCTTTGTCTTCAGAGTCTAAGTCCCTCCATCCTCCCTCCCCTCCTCTCCATCAGCTAGGGCTTATGGGGGAGGGGGACATGTAGGAGATGCTCCTGCTAGTAAGGTGATGCGTCCTCTGTCAAATGTCTCTAGGACCGCCGTGGAGGCAGCCTGGACATAAACGACAGGCACTGTGGCATGGGCGTGGGCAGCGAGATGAGTGCAGTTCTCATGCATCGGAGACACACAGACCCGGTCCAGCTCCAAGTGGCAGGGGTAAGTGAGCTGAGTGAATCGGAGAGGGGGAGCAGTGGAGCCCAAGCCAGGCTGTTGTTCTCATCTGGCTGTCAGCCTGACTCTGTTCTCATATATCTTGTGTCTAGTTCTGGCAGCGGGAGATTGGTGACCTTTATCCTTGTCATCCATCTTGACTACGGATTTGATCAAACTAAATTCAAAGGATGTTTTTTCGGGCATGTTGCCATTCTATGTGTCACCTCAAAAATGAAAACACCACTTTTGATGTAGAGAGTAGGTCTTAGGGATTCCCTTGAGGCCTTAGAGAGAATACCTCTGTCAGTAAAATTTTTCAGTCCTGGGGCTGGGGACATAGCTTAGTGGTAGAGGGCTTGGCTAGCAAACAGCAAGCCCTCAGTTTGATCTCCAGCACAGCACATGCTAAACAAAAGCCCTTAGCTTCAAGAATGGAGCTGGGAGCTGAGAGTAGTGGCAAATGCCTATAATCTCAGCTCTCCAGGAGGCTGAGGCAGAAGGATACCAAGTTCAAGACCAGTCTGGGTAACTTAGCAACTTGATGAGACCCTGTCTCACAATAAAAAATTTTTTAAAAGACCTCTCAGTGTAGCTCAGTGTGAAGACTCTGGGTTCAATCCCCAGTACTGTACTCAAAAAAAAGAAGAAGAAGAAGAACCCAGGGAGTTCTGGTAGCTTCATACTTGGGCTCATGCATGCTAGATCTACTTGCAGAGGATGCAGTGTGGCTCGAGGAGCCCTCAGATTCCCTCTGTGTAACCACGGCAGCCCTGAAGGCCAGCTGGGCCAGCCATAGCTCAGCAGAGCATCTTTGCGCTTCTCCCTACAGCGTGTACGATGGGCCCGGGCGCTGTATGACTTTGAAGCCCTCGAGGAAGACGAGCTGGGATTCCGCAGTGGAGAGGTGGTCGAGGTCCTGGACAGCACTAACCCTTCCTGGTGGACCGGCCGGCTGAACAACAAACTGGGCCTCTTCCCTGCCAACTATGTGGCACCCATGATGAGATGAACCCTTTGGAGGCTGGGGGCTTTTTGTCTGAAGCTGCCTGCAAGAAAGGGAGCAAGAACAAAAGCTGGGCTACATGACTACATGTGCATCCACAGAGCACACAGGTGTACACGTATATGTGTGCCATGTCTGCATAGCATCTAAAGTACATTTATGTATGCACACCTTTTATAATAGTATTTATTGGCAATGAGGTTGGTCAATTAATTGACCTGAAAGGGAACACAGGTGGAAAATGATATTCAGACTTTTTTATCTGCTCCTCTCAGGGCTGTGCAGAAGGCAGTGGGGGAAGTGGGCAGCACAGGCAGGAAAATGAAATGAAACCTTTTCGTGTCCTTGATCTCTCCCCACTTTCTCCCTGGCTTGGGAGTTTTCCCAGAGAGCAGCTAAGTGGAGACCACACCCCCACATTGGCCACAGAACAGCAAGGTGGAGCTGGACTTGGTGGGGCATGTTGGGGCTCACCTGTGCATCCCACACACCTGGAGGCTCACAGAGCAGCTCGCCACCCATTTTCCTGCTGCTGCACTGAGAATTAAGATGCAGCCATCCAGGGCCACAGGCACAAGCAGGTCTGAGCAGGAAGCAGGCAGGGGCAAGGACTGAAGCTGCAGCAGGGGAGAGTCCCTGCCAGAGCAAGGCTGCCCTCCTGGCCACCTCCAGCTGAGGCTTTCGTCCTCCCCCAGCGAATGCGCCTTGGGTGGTAATGCTCTTCCCTGTGGCTGACAGGAGAGAGTATCTCCAACATGGAGAAAGAGAGACACTGAGAGGAGCCAAGGGCTGGGAAGCAGAAGGGGTGGATTTTTTACAGATCCCCCAGGGCCTACTTGGATATAACCTCTGTTTCCCCAGCTACAAGGAAAGCAGCATCCTGGATTCTGTCAAGTGTTTGGAGAAGCGCTGGCTGAAAATGCTGAATGTTAGAGTCATTGTTTGACAGCTTCGAGGGTGTCTCTGCAGGGCTCTGTTCATTTTCTGTCTTGATTTTCTGTGTTTGAAACTGCCTTGCCCAGTAGCCCAGAGAGAAGCCAAGAGCATTGACTGTGGATCAATAGAGGGATTGATGGATTGAGTGTGACCCAGGGCGAGAGTGGGCTTGAAAAGAGCTTCCCAATCCATCAGACTGTTGAACCACTGCTGGCCTCCCCTCTTCTAAGAGTTGCCCCTGGGGAGAGGAACACTTCAGACTAGAACTGTGTGTCCAGTGTCCACCTTGGGGGTGCAAAGCACAGATCAGCCTAGTTGGAGGGGAAAGGGAACCTGGAGAGGCAGCTCTGTGCCTTAGTGGAGTGTGGAACACACACATTTGCATGGACCACATGTCAAAGGAGTGCGTGTGCATGTCTGTGCATGTGTGCACACAGGCATATGGGTGTGCTTATGTGCACACATGTGGATACATACGTGTGTGTGCTGAGACAGGAAAGAAAAGGTTGGGGTGGTGGTGGTGAAGGTCCGTGGTGGGGGCCCTTGATGCTTTGTTTCTTCTCCCTGGCCCTTCCTGCTGTAGGGAAGAACAGAAGAGCAGCCATTAGTAAAAATGATAAAAGAAGAGTGCTTCTGACTCAGAAGTGACTGCCCGTGTAACGCCAGCTCTGTCCCCTGTGACTCTGATTCAACAATTCTCTGATCCCCATGTTCATTTTAGAGACAAAGGGGAAGACAGGGCTCTGTAGTGAGTACTGGGAGGGAAGAGAAAACAGCCTGGAAGGGGCTGGAGGAAGCAGAGTGTAAGGAGCAGCTGCAGCCTTTAGAAGGAAAGTCAGGGAGAAGAAAAGAGGTGAACGTTTCAGCCAATAACGGAGCATGTGGAGGTGGGGGTCAAGGGGGACAGCGAGGACAGGTGCAGTGAGGCTATGGGCAGCCAGTAAAAGAGAAGAGACCATGGGGAGATTGGAGCAAGGCAAGAAGCAAAGATTCCCCAAGAGGAGAAAGAAGCAGGGGAAAGGGAGCCGAGGCACAGAGGGACCTCATCAGCTATCTTGGTGCGAGGTGCGAGGTGAAACATTGCAGTAAATAAAAGCCAAAAGTAATGTTGATTTTACAGTATTTGCAAACCATCTGCTTTAAACAGCCCACCAACTTCATCCATTTGTCAGGTTCTGTGGGAGGACCATCCCTAGTTAAGACAGAGACAAATGATTTGGTTCTGGTCTAGATCTTGTGCCTGGAAACACTTTGCAAGAAGGCAGTAACAAAGCGGTGTCCTTCTTTTGCCAGGCTGTCTTCGGTGTCTGTGTGGCACAGCCCTCAAGCGGTGAGTGGGAGGACATGGAGTGGGGGCGGTGGCGGGGTCCTTGGCCTGGAGAGGCTGACTGCTTAGGTGGGCGGTATGAGCAGAGCCCTCAGAATGCCTGGAGCCAGGTATCCTGGTCTAGCAAGGACTGTTGTGGGAGTGTGTGGGAGTATTTTTGATTGAGGTGCTAAAACTGCCTTGCCCTGCTCATCAGCATGGTTCAATCCAAAAGGACACAGAAGAGTCACCCAAGCCACCATGGAGAACAGGACTCTGAGGAACCAAGCTAACAAGATGAAGACCAAACTGTTCACCCTAAGTGGGACAGGGTGGAAGCTCAACTCTCCTTACCCTCTGCTGCTGCCCAGGTGGTGAAGAGCAGCACATGAAGGGTTGCTCCCTCGCCCCCACCCCTACCCCAATTTCTGCCTGTCAGCATCTCAGCGGCAACGGTGTGTCCACCCAGTGCCTCTCACCAGCCACACAACCAGCAGCCAGCACAATGCCTCTGATTTTGGCAGCAATGGTTTTAGTGACTTCGGGGCAGGGAACTTCCAGAGAAAAACCAGTTCCTGTTGGACCAGTTAGGTTCTCCTAACTGCTTGCCAAGGCTCACTGCGTGTCAAATATCTGGCACTGCCCACCCACTTTAAGACAGCCTCAGAATGATCTAAAGTGGCTGCTTCTCAAATTTTCAAGTACCTATGAATTGCCTGGGGATCATGCTAAAAACTGCAGCTGCTGACTCCATCCTGCATTTCTAACCAGCTCCCAAGTGCTGTTGTTGGGCTCACACCAGGAACAGCAAGAGCAAAGAACATGACAGTGAGATAAACAGCTACACATGTCTAATTGGATTCCTTTTCTGGGGATATTCAGTCATTCTTCTGTTGCTAACAAAGAAATCACTTTGGCTTGGGACAGATATGATTCAGAACTGCCTTCATGACATCATTTATACTTGGCAGCCCCAGTGACTTCTTTCTGCATCTTCATCTCCATCAGGAATCAAAAACTTTTTGAGTTACAGGCATTCAGACAAAACACAAGCAGGAATTTCCCAATAGTGATGACGTATTTTGAACATGAACAGAGGTTACAGGAGAAGTTGTGAAAGCTTTCTCAGGAAATCTTTAATCTAAAATTGAGGCCCATCACGTGGGTCTGTAAGTGAGTCAAGTGTAGACATGTCCACGACATCTCTGCTAATCCACCAGGCACCGTGGCACCTGCCTATAGTCCCAGCTACTCAGAAAATTGAGGCAGGAAACCACCTCACCCCAAGAGTTCAAGGCCAGCCTTGGGAAAATAGCCAAATCCCATCTCAAGAGAAAAAAATAAACAAAAGATCTCTCCTAACCCAAAGCAAAACAACCCACACCAGGAACAGATTGGCACAATCAAATATTTGCTAGTCGTTTTGTCTAAAAGCAACATGTCTATCTGTCTATACTACAGCATGGGGTGTGAGGAAAATCTATATTGTCTCAATTAAAAAAAAAATTTCTCAGGTTCTTCCATTTCATCATCACAGCCGTGCCACCCTCATGACACTCTCAGGCAATTGTGCTGTCCTCCATACTTTCCCTGTCTTCCCTGTTGTCCTCAGTACGTTCTCCATACACACACACCGGGGGGTCTTTCTACAAATAAATCTGATAATGCCACTATCCTTCCCGTTGCATTTTGCCTCAAACCCTAAGTCCTAGAGCTCCTGTGGGGTCTGATCCCAGCTGGGATCTCTCTCCAGTTTCCACTTGTGCCTGTCCCCACTTTGCTGTCATAGCCCTGCCCTACTGTCCTCCTTTCAACCTCCAGATGGACAAGCGTTTGTCCCTGCATCTTCCACACCTGCACATTCCTCTGTCTGGAATGCACAGCCTCTGTTCTTCACCTGCTAACTCGAGTTCAGGTCCGGTTGTACATGTCACCTCTTCACACAGTCCCTCTCTGACCCTTAATCTAAAATAACCCCTCTTAGTAGACTGGCTCACCAATCTCATGCTTTTGCTGAATGGCACACACACTGATGGTGGCGCTAAACTGAGTCATATGATTATCAGACTATACGTGCCATGGGGCAGGGATTGTTGTGTTTTGTAAACCATTGTCTGACCAGCATCTCACATGATACATGTCGATAAATACATGTTTAATGAATAAACAGTGAAGCCTGCCTCAACTCATCTATTCATTCACTCTGTATTCAAATGTCTTGGGCTTTACAGACCCACAGATATAAACATGGTGATATTAATGAAGGGTCCATGTTGTAGTTGCATTAGCCACTGCCTTCCAATTCTCCTCTAGTTCTTCTGAGAGTCCAAGAGAGGGAGACTGGTATCTCTCAAGTGTTTAGACACCAGTTAGCTCGTGTCTCCTACTCCAGGTGTGTGCGTTGGTGCCCACATATCCTCTGCTGACAGTCTCTTCCCTGTGCTGTGGATCTACTCTGCATCACATTTCTCTCCTGGTGAAATGGCCAGTTCTTCAAGACACAGATCTGCGCTGTGGTCCCTGTGGCCAGGAGATTGGGGAGGGGCAGGCTAGAGAATGCCTACACCCAATTCTGAAGTGCACTGCTGGGGCCAGGGTTCCTTGCAGTCTTCTATGAGCAGCTTGTTCCCTTGGCAGCCAAGTTCTCTCTCCATTAGACAGAACAGGGGATGCAGATCTCCCTGTCCATCTCTCTTATATCTCTCCTCTCTCCTTGGAGCCCCTTTCTCATTCAGCTGAAAAGTACACCCAGAGACCCCTTCATTTGTACAATAGATAGCACACAAGGGCCCCCGGCAGTGTGTGATGCATCCAGTGGTATAGTCTGGGCGCTGCTCTTATTTATCCATTAATTTAACACGTGTTCACAAAGCACCTCCAGCACAGTCATGGGGTCTTTCACACGGCTGCACTCTGTCCTCTCTGTGTTTATACCACAACCATTGCCTCACTTTATACCTCTCCCACTTCTCTCCTAGGTAACTGCAATAGTCTCCACACTGGTCCTCCTGGCTGGTCTCCTCCACAGTTGCCAGAGTGCTCTTATTAGCATGCAGAGAGAATGACATCAAGCTCTTGTTCAAATCCTTCAGGGGCTCCCCATAGCTTTCAGGCTGGGGCTTAAACTCCTTAGCGTGGCACTAAAGGCATTTTGTGATCTGGCAGCTGCCTGTTTGTTTAGTACCATTTCCCAGGTCTCTGCTCCCAAGTGCTCTCTACTCCAGTCCCACTGAACTCTCCATGGGACCAGAATGAGTCCATCACCTCCAAGCTCTAAGTCTCCTGTGTTCTGTTCCTTTTGCCTGGAGTGCCTTTCTCCCAATTTTTCTCTAGACCAGCACTATCCTAGAGGACTTTTACAACAGTGGAAAAGTTCTGTATCTTCTCTGTGCAGTGTGGGAGACACTAGCCACATATGGGTGTTGACTACTTGAAAAGTGGCTAGCTAATGTGAGCAAGTGGGATAGACACGTGGACACATGGGGCTAGTAGCTACCTGATTGAGCAGTATGAAGACAACTGTTACTTTGAAATACCTAGCTCAGGGCTGACGGTCTCCTCTGGAAACCATCCCAATGTCATGGCTGACCTTGTTCTGCCATCCCAATATTTAGAACCTTGTTTTATATCAGTGATTCATTGGTCTGCCTCTACCATAAGACTGAAAAGTTCAAAGGCAAGCAGTTCACTCGATAAATGGTTGATGCTGAGTGCAGTGCTGTGCTGGTAGAGATCTAACAACAGGCTCTCTGAGAAAAACCCCTGATTTGTACCATTTGGTCTCCCAAAGCAAGAAGTCCAGAGGTGAGGCAGAGCTCAGCTTCCTATCAGTGGCTTGGCAGTGCTATCCTCCAAGCATCAGCGTGTCTCTCCTTGGGGGCTGTTGCCATTCCAGACATCACCTGCAAGTGTGACATACTGACAAAGAAGAGGCATGTTCCCTCCCAACTGTCACTAGAGAGGAAACCTTTCCCAGAAGTCTTCAGCAGTCGTTCCCGCAGACTCTGATGGCAAGACTGGCTTATAAGCCCTGCATGAGCCATTCAGCTCCAGGAGAATGAGCCTGTCCAACAGACCCAGACCAAAGGGCAGGACCCTGCAGGGGGTAGAACCTAAGTGGCCAGGTGAGGCCCTGGCCACAGGAGCAGCCACTGGAATGTGGTGGGAATGGCTGTCAAGACCCGATGTACGAGACTATTAGAGGAAGAGCCACTTTCTTTATGGACAGGTCATTCCACAAACATTTCTCAAGGTAATCAAGGAACAAGGAAGTGGTGTGAGGGAGAACAACCCCAGCTTTCCCTCCCCAAGTGGAGACAACTACAGAACACACATACACATGCTATTCCATTGGCCTTCTCCTACAGAGCCCATAACTGCTAAACCATCAGGGCAAAGGGGACAGACCTCATGCTGTTCAAAGACACCAGCGCTGCATATAGGGAGGCCATGTGTCTGCTATGGGGATGGAGTTCGCAGTCAAGCTGTGTCATTGTCCCAGCAACTCGATGATCCTGGTGTGAGGAACTCTACCCGCCCACCTACCCCGGTGCTCCCAGGTAGGGGTCTATGCAGGGTCATTGGTGGCAGTCCCATTTGCACACATCTGAATTCCCCAGGGCAGCCAGCACGTGGTGTCTCACTCCCCTGGCTCTGACCTGGTTATGGGGAGTTGCTAGGTAACTGCTTCCCACGCTGAAGGAGGCTTAGTTACCATGGCAAGCCCAGATGGGTGGGGGTTGTGGGGAAAGGGAGCACTGGAAGTAGGGGGAAGGCACAGCAGCCTGGGCTCTGTCCTTACTCTTTCCCAAGCTACAGACCTCAGGGGACTGTTGTAACCCTTTCGGGCCTCAGTTTCCTCATCAGTCAAACGAATGAAGAAGGCATAGGTCTCTTCCAGCTCTACACCCTTGACACGTGCAGGTGGCATACGCTAAATGAGTACTGATCCTCAGATCCCTCTTAGGCCAGGGACAACTCAGAACAGGTGAAGAAAAGGAATGAATTATTTGTCTTTTTTTTAATAAATAGAGGAGTTACCCAGTCTATGTCTCCACTATGAAAAATAGAAATTATGTAATTTCTTTCTTCTCTTGGCAGAAATTTAGTTTCTGGAGTGCTATTTACAAGTCCCTGGGGACCCCTTGGCCCTTTTCTGAACTTAGACTTCCTAAGGAATAAAACTCAGCTTTTGAAAGGGTGATGTCCTCTCAGATGGGGTCTGGTGGTTCTTGGGCTCTGCAGGCCCAGCTGGAGCCACAGTGGAGCCTTTGAGCCTGGCTTCCTTCTGAGACCCAGCCTCACCTTCTTCCCTCATTCCTCCAATGAAATCTCTGCCCAAGCCCAGATTCAGGGACCTCTGCAGTACACAGCTCCTTGCTTCCCTAATGACTTTGTGCTGAAGCTCTGATGCCGCCACCTGCATAGGCTCCTGTGACCCCAGAAGAAAGGCTGGGCCCCTCTTTCCCCCAGCAGCCTGTCTGTCTTCGCTCCTCCTTAGACCCTGCCTCCCAGGCCCAGTTCTGAACCAGGCCATTCCTGATCCCTCCCTGTCCCCATACAAATATGACAAACAGAACGGCATGAATATGGCTGAGGTGCTAGAATCATCTTATCAGGGATCCTTCTCCACCCACACTCCACAGTGAGTTTCCCTGGGGTTGGCGGCAGAAGGAGGGATCATACTTTGTGTAAATGAGTGAAAACCCCTGGGTGCTGCAGTGATTGCTCTGTGGTATCAGTCTCTCAGCACCAGCTGGGCTCTGGAGCATTCCAGAACCTTCCAGCCCTACAGAGGAAAGCCCCCTCCCCTCCTTTCTAATCATCTGCCCCAGATGATATGGAAAAGGCGTAAGCTTTGAGTCAGACCAACCTGGGCCCCAAGGAAGACTCTGCCACTTGCACAGTGAGCCTGGATAAGTCCCTTGACCTCCAAGCTGATCTAGAGAATGGAGATCATAGCACTAAGTTGTCACAGGAAGTAAACAAAATTGTAGGAAAGACTTGGTAAGAGCCTAGCAAATAATGGGATCTGAGATGACTGTCAGCTTTCTTTATTCTTTTTTATTTTTATGGCCAAGATCAAGCAACAGGGCATGGAAGAGAAGGAACTTAATCCTTTTCTGAGGCTCCTGCTTCTGTTTGACCTCCTTGGCCCACTCATGAGTCCCACCTCCCCTAGCCAGCAAATGCACACACACACACACACACACACACCCCACACACACATTTTGGCAGAAAGAGGCTTCTCCTCACATCCCCCAACCTCACCACCAGGGTGAAATCATTGCTGCAAAGGCCTCCTCCCCGCTGGAATTCCCCTGCCCTGTATTCTGCCCTCCTCTGAGTAATCTTCCTGCATCTGTCACACTGTTAATTCACTGATGTTGGAAGTCAACTTTGGAGAAGTCTCCTCCCTCCCCTTACTCTCTTCTTCCCAGTGGTGCCTGCACTGTCACAGTGGCCTGCAAGGGACAAAATGCTGAGGGTGTGACAAAAATTCTTTGCTTAGCCCAACTTGAGTTAGGCTTCTAGATCTGCTAGGCCCCTCTATGTACTTCCTTGTAAGATTCAATTTTAGCAAAGAACCCTAAGTCAGTGGAGCCAGAACCCCCTACCTGGGCATCTGATAGTCTTCCATATCTGATCAGTTCCTCCTCCTGCACTGTCCCCCAGTTGACATCTGATCATCCTGGTCTGTCTTCAGCAAGAATCCTGTCAGGTGAGTTAGAACCCCCACTCCTGAGAGTTCCTCTGAGTAATTTTCATCCACTGACCCCTACCTATTGCTCCTTGGTTATAAATCCCGACCAGCTCATGCTGTATTTGGAGTTGACCCCAGTTTCTCTCCCCCAATTGTAGGACCCCATTGCAGTAGTTCCGGTACTTCTCTCATTGGTTGTGGCAGTTAGGGCAGAATGCCAACTTGACTGGCTTTGGGATCCACCCAGGGGATTGGTGGATCACATATCTGAGTGAGTGGGTCGTGGAGGTGTGGCCTTGGGGTCTAAGTCTGGTCTTTCATCCCTGTGTTAGTTACTTTTCTCTCTTTGCTGAGACAAAACACTCAACAAAGGGTTTATTTAGCTCACAGTTTGTAGATGTTTCAGTCCATAATCATCTGCCTCCAAGGCAGAGTGGCACATGGCAGAGGGATGTCACAGAGGGCAAACAG